AAACCCTTAAAAATTCTTTTTTAAATTTTCCATCCCAAATCTCACCCTTTTTACCCCCGGGGTTTGGAAACTAAAACTTTTTTGGGGGCCCATGGTCACTTATTTTCCAGAAACAAAACCAAAAAACACGTAAAAATACAAATATTCCGATTTAAAATGCTTAAAATTTTTACCGGGGGAGGCTAGCTGGTAAACAATGGGACGAGCGCAATGTGAGGCTGGTTTAAAGGGCCCACTTTGGACGCGCCCTCGGACAAAGTTCGCTGGGGGGTTTTTTGCCCTACTATGGGGGGAAAAAAAATTTTTTTCAGCGAACAAAGCGTTCGCTTTTCGGATTTTTTTCCCCTAGGGCGGGCGTTCGCTAGGGCGGGGGCCCCACGGGTCCATACTTTCCTAGGTTTTTTCTCCTTTTTCTAAATACCTTTTTGTATTTTTTTAATTTTTTTCTATTGTCCATGGGGAAGTGGAAAAGAATTTTTTCCCCCTCCGTAAGCCAGGGCGTGCCCGTATGGGGCAAAAAAAATGCCGGAGCAAGGGGCTGGGTAACCCCTTCCCCTTTTAAATAAAATTTACTAAAAAAGAGAAGAAGAAAAATTTTATAAAATTTGGGTTGTTTAAAAGGGGGGATGTAGTGGGGATGACAAAAACAAGATTTGCTGATGTTAGAATGAAAAGAATTGGATGTCCTGGCCCTAAAAGCAAAACAAACTAAAGGGGGGTAGGAGATTTTTTCATTTGGGGGGAAATAAATGGGATTAAATCGGAGTATCTGAAGATTTAAGCAAAGGAAGGGATGCAGAAAATTTTAAATGATTAAAAGGAAAGGGAGAAAAGAGAATATGAATGTGTACTTTTCAAAAATTTGGGGGTTTAAAAGGGTAAAGGTTGGATGCAAAGAAGGGGGGGGTCAAAAATTAAGCTGAGGGCACCGGGAGGAGAGGGGAAATTCAGAGGAGAAGAAGAGTTTTTTGGGAGTTTGTTAAGGAATGTATGGGAGCCTTTGTCCCAAAGTAGAGATTTAATTTGGTAGGGACTTAATGCAAAAGTAGGAAAACTTTTAGAGAGGGGGGTTTTAGGAAAGTTTGGGGTCCCCGGGTAAATGAAAATTGGAGCCCTTTATTGAATTTTGGGGTATAAAAAGGGGTTTTTAAAGTTATAGGTAAACATATTTTAAAAAAAAAGGGATAAAAAGTATACCGATATAAATTTTAGGGCAAAATTAAAGAGTTTTTTGGGATTTTTAAATTGGGTAATAAAAGATTTTTGATTAACTTAAAGGATGAAACCATTTTTAAAGGGGGGGGCCACAATATATCAGATCACTTTCTATTTTGTACCCCTACACTGGGGAGTAAAAGGTAGTTTTAATACAAAGAATAGAAGAAATTCGGGGAAGAGAGAGGTAAAGGGTTTTATAAACTAAAAAGGAGGCAGTTGGGGAAAGATATAAACACTTTTGGGGGAATAGATGGGCTAAAAGACCCTAGGCAATAGGGTCGAAGAGGTATGGGAAAGGTTTTTAAAAATTAGTTTTTAGAGTGTTCAGCAGGAAATTTGTGGTTACAGGGAAATGTGGGCAGGAGGGAAGAGGAGCGATTGTGGAATTATGAAAGTAAAGAGAGTAGTAAGGGAGAAAAATTTTGCATATGAGAAGTTTTAAAAGTAGAATTTAAAGCAAGGAGGGGAAAAGTATTAAAGGAAAAAAAAAGAGAAGTTAAGAGAGTGGGAAGGGAATGTTAAAAAAAGAGCAAATGGGGAGAGGGGGGGAATGTTTTCAAAAAATTTTGTTGAAAATAAAAAAATTTGGAGTGAGATTAACAAGTTAAAAAAGCCCAGAGAACAAATGGATTTGTCAGTTAAAAAAAAGGAGGGAAAAAGTTATTAAGTGGGGAGTTAAGGTATTGGGAAATGGAGGGGAAAATTTTGAGGAATTGTTAAATGTTGAGAAAAATAGGGAGGGGGGGGGTGATTTCGTGTATAGGGCAAGGAGGAATAACATCTTGGAGGAGTGAGGGGAAAAGCCAGTTTGTGAGTGTGGGGGGAAATTTGGTGAGGCAGTAGGAAAATGAAAGGGGGGAAGGCAGCCCGGGGTTATGGGGAAAAAAATAAAAATGTTTAAAAAACAGGGGGGGATAAAGTTTTTTGGGGTGGTTTTTGGGGCAAATTTTTTAATAAATGTATGGAAGAGGGTAAGGTACCTAGGGGGTTGGCAGGGGAGCAAAGCCCTATTTCCTTTGTATAAAGGAAAAGGGGGTAAAAGAGAGTGCAAAAATTATAGGGGGGTAAAACCCGGGTTTAGTGTAAACCCGGAAAGTGTTAAAGGTAGAGTTATAATTGAAAGAAATTTAAAAGTAAGAAAAGAAAAAGGATAGCAATGAAAAAGGAGGGTTTAGGAAAGGTAGGGGGTTTTGTGGACCCCTTTTTTTTACGTGAAACATATAAGTGAACAGTATTTAAATAGGGGTAAAGAGGGCTTTGGTTGGGTTTAAAGATTTGGAAAAAAGGGGTATGACAGGGTGGATTTGGGGGGCCCAAAAGGGGGCAGGAAGTTTGCAAGGTTTTAAGGTGTAGGAGGTAGGTTTTCTGGAAAACAGTGAAGAGTTTTTACGAAAGGGTAGTGAGGGTCAAGTTTGAGTATGTAGGAAAGAGGGGAAATTTTTTTCCCCGTAAAAGTAGGGCCCTTGGGCAAGGATTTTGATGTCAAAACCCTGGTTGTTTAAAAATATTTTTAGATGGGGTTGTAAAAGGGAATAAAATGCGAAAGGGGCCCGGCAAGAGGCGTGATTTAAAAGATAAAGAATCACAAAACAAATTTTGGGGTTGTCACAAACTGCTCTTTTTTTTTATGACCTGTCTCTTGGGAATTCTGAAGAGAAATTGCAGAGATGGGGGGGGGTGAATTTGGTAGGAGGGGGCAAAAGAAAAAATTAAAGGTGAATACAGGGGAAAAAGTAAGGGTTTTGGGGGATAACAAAAGATAAAGGGGATGAAAAAATTTAATATCAGATTGGAGGAGAAGTAAGGGGGGAGGTGAACTTTTTAGAAAATTTGGGAGTGGAAAAATTTTACGGATGGGTTTTATGAAAGATAGGGAATCATAGAATTGATGGGAAGGGAAAAAGTGAGTGGGGCACTTAGGGTCCTGTGGGGACAAAGAACCCTTTTTCCTTGGGGGCAAAAGGGGGAAAAGTATGAAGTATAGTTTTACCCAAAGCTCTTATATGGGGGTGAAGCGTGGGTGGGTGAAATTTTTCAGTGAGGAGAAGGCTGGGGCAGTGGGGATGTCATGTCTGAGGGGAATGTTGGTGTGAATATAAAAGCGAAATTCGTAGTTTGGGGAATTTTGGAGGAGGGCGGGATTACCAAAAATTTTGTCCAGAGGGCTAGGGAAGGGTTTTTTGAGGGGGTTCGGACGTAGAGAGAATGGAGCGAAAAAGAATGACTTCAAAAGTGGGATCAGTCGTTTTGGAAGGGGAAAGGGGGGTAGGGGTCGGCCTAGGAAGGGTTTTGGAAAGGGGTGGGTTTAAAAGGGGGGTTTTTTGTGCGAGGGCTTGGACTTCCCAGCAGGCCCCGTAGCGTGGGTTTTAAGGAGTTAATTTGGGGAAAAAATGGTTTTTTTTTACTTGACATCTTTTGGAGTGTGAGGGAAAGGGAAAAATTTAAAGAAAGGGGTTCAGGAAACCGGGAGGCCCCACTTTAGGGCCTGGAGATGGGAAGTACAATGCCGCACCTGAAGGGGGGGTTTTAATGTTTCAAATTTAAAAACGTAGTTTTAAAAAACAAACCCCTTTTGGCAAGACAGTGATGGAGTGGGAAAGAGGGAGAAAAATTTTTTTTTTTCGGGGGCCCCCCGCCTGGGGGGAATCGGGCCCAATTTTGGGTAATAAAATAAAAATAAAAAAAAATAGGTATTGTTTTTTGGGGAAAACTTTGGGAAAAAAGGCTAAGGAGGGAAAGGGATATTACCAAAACTTTTAAGTGGGGTGAAACAAGGGCTTTAAATATTGCAGCAAGGAGGCTGCTAGAGTTTGTTAAATAGGATTTTTAGAGCAATATTTTGGTGTGAATAATTTTGCAGAAATTCCCAAAACATAAAAAAGGGTAGAGGGTTTCCAAAAATTATTCAAAGAAATTGATGAGGGGGTTTGGAAAATTTTGGGGGATTTTTTGGGGACAGTGCCCCAGAATAAAAAACCCAAAAGGATGTAGATTTTAGGGTGGCAGAAAGGGGTTAATCCGAAGAAAGACTGGGGGGAAGAGGGTTAAAAGTATCCAACGGTTTCCAAGAGCTTGTTAGAACCCTAGAGAGTGGGGGGAAAATAAGGGTTTTTTATGGCTTTTCATGCTGTTATAAAGTGAGCAAGGTAAGATTTAATGAGGAGTTTCAGGGAATCCCCTTTTAAATTTAGGCCCAAAAAGAGAAATTTTTGGGGAAGGGAGAACAAAAACTTTTTTTGTTTGGGCCCCCGGGGGCAGGAAATGGGGGCCTTCAATCTTAAGTGAGTTTTTTCATAATTATTTTTTCCAAAAAAAACTAAAAAAAAGTTGAAATTACAAATTGCAAAAAAAAAAGGTAAATCTAAATAAAATGGTGTGGCTATGGGGCCTCTTTAGAGAAATTTACACAAGGGCCCCAGTCCAAAGTATTCCCCGAATAATTTCTCCCCCCCCCCAAACCTTTTCACAGGCCCCTTCCTTTAAATTTACTTGTTTCCTGAGGTTTGGGGGGAAAAACATTGCTTTTATGAAAATTGGGGTTGTTGCAAACTCACGGGTCCCTCTGAATTGTGTTTTAAACTGCACACTTGTTGGGGAGGGTAGTTTATTGATGTATGATTATAAAAAGTAGGAGATGGTAAAGGGTTTTTTACATCATTATTTACTTTTTTTCCTTTCTTTTCTTGGTTTTTTTTTCTTGGGTCATAGCAAAAAAGTTTTTTTACTTGCTTTAATGATTTATTAGTTCTAGCCATGCATCTAAACTATTAATAACAATCAAGGAGATTGCTGCGGGAGCTGAAGGGAAGGGAGATGGAGTGTATGAAAAAGATGTTGCCATTCACGGAGATGTTTTACTTCACAAGTTCAAAAAGAGAATTTCTCGTAGTCCCCATCAGGTACTCAGGTATGTGATTAATAACTGTCTAGTATTAGTGTTAATAATATCAAGGTGTTTAAATTTCAGCAGTTTTATCGTATAAAGGAATGTGTCCTTCATTACATTCAGTACACACAATATTGCATTTAATAATCCCAGATGCTTTTTGTGTGTAGCTGCTGACTCACAGGGGCTTAGCCCTTCTTTTTTGAATACTGTATAGCAATAACAGCAATAATGAATGATGATAATTATAATAATAATAATAGTAATAATAAGGTAGATCTTTGATTATTTAGCTCTTGATTATTTATTGTGTAGTATTATTTGAAGATCATATTTGATCTGGCAAAATGTTGTGTAATCAGTGATCATAAGGGAGGTAGTAGAACACTAACTAAAAATTACAGACCAGTAGCTCTAACTCGTCACATCATAAAAATCTTCGAAAGAGTGACGAGACTGCAGATTACAAATTTCATAGACCAGCACAAATAGCATAACCTGAACCAGCCTGGTTTTAGAACAGGATGAACATGCCTGTTGCAGCTAATGAACCATTATGACAGAGTTACGGAGGCATTGGAAGACAACCAAAATGCAGATATGTTTACACAAATTTTGCAAAGGCGTTTGACAAATGCGATCATGGAGTGATAGCTCACAAAATGAGGGCCATGGGCATTACGGGGAAGGTAGGCAGAGCACAAAACAGAAGACAAATAGTAGTAGTGAACAGGGCAAGATCCAGCATAAGTGAGGTCAAAAGCTCAGTGCCCCAAGGCACTGTCCTGATGCCTCTGCTGTTTCTCATTCTCATAGCAGACATAGATAAAAATCCCTGTCACACTTTTGTTTCATTATTTACAGATGATCCTAAAATAAGCATGAAAGTCATTGTGGTAGAGGACATCGAAAAATTACAGGAAGACATCAGCAGGGTTTTCCAGTGGGCAGTGGAGAGCAACATGACATTCAATGGTGATGAGTTCCAGCTGTTTAGGAATGGAAAGAATGAAGAACTCAAAAGGAACACTATAAACAAAACTTAAGAGGGTCACCAAATAGAAAAAAAGGAACATGTAAAAGACCTGGGAATAATTATGTCAGCTGACCTTTCTTTTAAGACCATAACAAGACAAAGATCACGACAGCCAGGAAGATGACAAGGTGGGTATTGAGAACTTTCAAAGCAAGGGAAATAATGCCAATGATGACACTCTTCAAGTCGCTAGTGCTCCCTCATTTAGAATATTGCTCAGTGCTGACGGCCACGTTCAAAGCAGGAGAAATATCAGTGCTGGAACAAATACAGTGATCGTTTATGGCTCACATTGAGCCAGTGAAGCACCTAAATTACTGGGAATGCCTTCAAGTCTTGAGCATGTACTCATTGGAGTGAAGGAGAGAGAGAGATATATGATAATATATACCTGGAAAGTACTTGAGGGTCTGGTCCCAAATCTGCACACTGCCATAACAACATATTGGAGTGAGAGATATGGGAGAAGTGTAAAATAAACCCAGTGAGGAGCAGGGATGTGGTGGGGACAATAAAGGAATGCTGTATTAACATCTGGGGTCCCAGACTTTTCAACATCTTATCAGGAGATATCAGAAACATGGCTGGAACAAGTGTAAAAATCTTCAGGAGGAAACTGGACATGCAACTTTACCAGGTGTCAAATCAACCAGGCTGTGATGAATATGTGGGGCAGCGGGCATCCAGCAGCAAGAGCCTGGTTGACCAGGTGAGCACCAGACGAGCCTGGCCCATGGCCCGGCTCCGAGAGTAGTGAAACTCTTGAAACTCTTCAAAGGTATATCAAAGGTATAGGAAAACTGCTGTCTTGGTCTTGCAGTCAACTACCACATAGTCTCCACATGGTGACACAAAGAAGCCAGTGTTAGAGCGTGTTGGGGAGTTTCCTAGGACAGCAAAAATAAGCTATTTTTTTTCATTTGTCAGTGCAGTTATGCAGTTAGCAGTGTTAGATATAAGGCACAAAAATAAATAAGTAATAATTTTGGCAATTATTCATAATTTAATTAATTCTATTTTGTATGTGTGAAATAAGATTTTTTGTTGGTAATCATCTTGAGAGCTTATATCAATGCACTTAAACCTCTTCATTCTTCTTATGAAAATGAAATTGAGTAATACAGTAGACCCTTGCCTTATGATATTAATCCATTCCTGAGAGCTCATTGTATGCTGAAATTATCGTAAGGCGAATTAATTTTCCCCATAAGAAATAATGGAAATCAAATTAATCCGTGCAAGACACCCAAAAGTATGAAAACATTTTTTTTACCACATGAAATATTAATTTTAATACACACAAACTGAAGAAGACATGCACAGTTAATACTCTACTAAGAATAGAATACATAACACTTACTTTTATTGAAGATCTGGTGATGATTGATGGGATGGGAGGAGGGGAGTGTGTGGAAGTTGTTGTTGTTTAGAAGGGGAATCCCCTTCCATTAGGACTTGAGGTATCAAGTCCTTTTCCGGGGTTACTTCCCTTCTTCTTTTAATGCCACTAGGACCAGCTTGAGAGTCACTGGACCTCTGTCGCACAACATATCTGTCCATAGAGCTCTATACCTCTCGTTCCTTTACGATTTGTCTAAAGTGGTTCACAACATTGTGATTGTAATAGTCACCAGCACGGCTTGCAATCGCTGTGTGAGGGTGATTTTCATCCATAAAGGTTTGCACTTCAAGCCACTTTGCACACATTTCCTTAATCTCTTTTTTCAATTCCATACTAATTCTCACCCTTTTTACCACAGGGATGGCACTAGAAGCTTTCTTGGGGTCCATGGTGACTTATTTTGCAGTTACAAGCACTAAAAACACTGGGATAATGTGAAATGTACCGAATGTATGTGTAGATGCGACTGCACTGGCTGTCTTGTAAACACTGGTGCTGAGGCCACACGTGGGATGCTTCCTGGACGAATCCCATAAGGCTAGTTTTTTAGCGTGAGGCGAGGCAAAATTTTTGCGTTAAAATGTATTGTATGGCGGATTTATTGTAACGCAATGCCATCGTAAGGCGGGGCTCCACTGTATTTGAAACAAGACCATATTCATTTTATTATTTTATCATATTCTTATAGCACTGTTTATAAAATGTACTCATTACACACGCACCACAGTATCGTACAAAAAATAAGTGAATTCATGCAAAATGCTTTGGTGTGTTTTCATGTTAGGTTCATGTGCCAGTCAAAAAGAAAATACCCTTCATAAAAAGTTAACATATTACAATGAATGAAATTTTTTTTTTTTATTAACACATCAGCAGTCTCCCACCAAGGCAGGGTGGCCCGAAAAAGAAAAACTTTCATCATCATTCACCGGTACAAAAAATCTATTTGTTTTTCTTGTGATGGGTATTTTCTGATTGCATGTGATTGTATGTTGTAAAAAAAAAATTATTTTATTTCCTATACCCCCAAACTCTTTTCTAAACATTGTCTTACAATTTTTTTTTTTTTTTAACATGTCAGTTGTCTCCCACCGAGGAAGGGTGACCCGAAAAGAAAGAAAATCCCCAAAAAGAAAATACTTTCATTATCATTCAACACTTTCACCTCACTCAAACATAATCACTGTCTTTGCAGAGGCACTCAGATATGACAGTTCAGAAGTCCCTCCAAACTGCCAATATCCCAAACCCCCCTTTAAAGTGCAGGCATTGTACTTGCCATTTTCAGGACTCGAGTCCAGCTAACTGGTTTCCCTGAATTCCTTCACAAAATATTACCCTGTTCGCACTCCAACAGCTCATCAGGTCCCAAAAACCATTCGTCTCCATTCACTCCTTTCTAACATGCTCACACATGCTTGCTGGAAGTCCAAGCCCCTCACCCACAAAACCTCCTTTACCCCCCCTCCCTCCAACCTTTTCGAGGACGACCCCTACCCCACCTTCCTTCCCTTACAGATTTATACGCTCTCCAAGTCATTCTACTTTAATCCATTCTCTATAAATGACCAGACCACCTCAACAACCCTCTTCAGCCCTCTAATACTTTTAGTAACTCCACACCTCCTAATTTCCACACTGAATTCTCTGCATAATATTTACACTAACTATTGCCCTTAGACAGGACATCTCCACTGCCTCTAGCCTCCTCCTAGCTGCAGCATTTGCAACCCAAGCTTCACACCTATATAAGTGTTGGTACCACTGTACTTTTGTACATTCCCTTCTTTGCCTCCATGGATAACATTTTTTTTGTCTCTACAGATACCTCAATGCACCACTCACCTTTTCCCTTAATCAGTTTTATGGCTAAACTCATCTTTCATTAACCCATTCACTGACAAGTCAACTCCCAAATATCTGAAAACATTCACTTCTTCCATGCTCCCTCTCTCCAATGTGATATCCAATTTTTCTTTATCTACATCATTTGATACCCTCATCATCTTACTCTTATCTATGTTCACTTTCAACTTTTTACCTTTACACACCCTCCCAAACTCATCCACTAACCTTTGCAACTTTTCTTTAGAACCCATAAGCACAGTATCATCAGCAAAAAGTAACTGTGTCAACTCCCATTTTGTATTTGATTCCCCATTATTTAATCCCACCCCTCTCCCCAACACCCTAGCATTTACTTCTTTTACAACCCCATATATAAATATACGGTGGAACCTCTACTTGCGAGTTTAATCTGTTCCATGACCTTGCTCGCAACTGGATTTGCTCGTTTGCAGAGTCAGTTTTTCTCATTTAAATTAACTGAAATGCAATTAATCTGTTCCAGTGGAATTCTGTACTTCAATAATTTTGCTAATATCAACTCTACAGCTTATTTATCTATCTCATTTCATCTAATATGACATAATAAACAATATAAATAACATAGAAACCTGATATATACTCTAAAATGAATAAAATATGTCATTCATGTAGTGGTATGGGCGGTGTCGGCGGTGGTCAAGTTTGTCTGGAGACTGGGCAAAATACTTCATGAATAATTTCACTATCATCATCTATACGGCTTATTTATATATCACAGTTAATCTAATATGACATAACAAACAAGATGAATAACATAGAAACATGATATATACTCTAGAATGAATAAAATGTCATTCATGTAGTGGTATGGGTGGTGTTGGTGGTGGACGAGTTTGTCTGGAGACTGGGAAAAAATACTTCATGAATAATTTCACTAATATCATCTATATGGCTTCTTTATATATCACAGTTAATCTAATATGACATAACAAACAATATGAATAACATAGAAACATGATATATATGCTAAAATGAATAAAATGTCATTCATGTAGTGGTATGGGCGGTGTCGGCGGTGGACGAGAGTTTGTCTGGAGACGGGCAAAATACTTCATGAATAATTTCGCTAATATCATCTATACAGCTTATTTATATATCACAGTTCATCTAATTTGACATAACAAACAATATAAATAACATAGAAACATGATATACAGTGGACCCCCGGTATTCGATGGCATCGGTATACGTTAAATTTGGTGTTTCGATACATTTTAACGCCAAAATTTTGCCTCGCCACTCGTTAAAAAACCCACCACACATGATTTGTCCGGGACGTGTCCACCTGAGTGCCAGTGTTTACAAGCCAGCCAGTGTGCTTGCATCTAAGCATACATTCGGTACATTCCATATTATCACAGTATTTTTGGTGCTTGTTTCTGCAAAATAAGTCACCATGGGCCCCAAGAAAGCTTCTAGTGCCAACCCTGTGGTAAAAAGGGTGAGAATTAGTATGGAAATTAAGAAAGATTTTGAAGGGTTTGGGGCTAACCCTGAGAAGCCTATGCCAGTTGTGGAATCCATTGTGCCTACTTCAAAAATTAAGGAAATGTGTGCAAAGTGGGTTGAACTGCAAACCTTTATGGATGAAAATCACCCTAACACAGCTATTGCAAGCCGTGCTGGTGGCTATTACAATGACAGTGTTGTGGCCCATTTTAGACAAATCGTAAGGGAACGGGAGGTACAGAGCTCTACGGACAGATTTGTTGTGTGACAGAGGTCCAGTGACTTAAGCTGGTCCTAGTGGCATTAAAAGAAGAAGGGAAGTAACCCCAGAAAAGGAGTTGCTAGCTCAAGTCCTAATGGAAGGGGATTCCCCTTCTAAACAATAAGTTCGACACTCTCCCCTCCTCCCATCCCATCAATCGTCACCAGATCTTCATTAAAGGTAAGTGTCATGTATTCTATTGTTAGTAGAGTAGTACTAACTGTGCATGTCTTCTTCAGTTTGTATGCATTAAACTTAATATTTCATGTGGTAAAACTTTTTTTTTCATAGTACTTTTGGGTGTCTTGCACGGATTAATTTAATTTCCATTATTTCTTATGGGGAAAATTAATTCACCTTCCGATAATTTTGGCATACGATGAGCTCTTGGGAACGGATTAATATCGTATACCGGGGGTCCACTGTATACTCTAGAATGAAGAAAATATGTCATTATGTAACAAGTGGAGGCGGCCACAACCGCTCCCTCTTTGTTGTGGTAATCACTGCTATCTAGTGATGGCCTTTTGAAGCTGTCTATTATTATAATTATTATATGTAGTACATTATTATTATATTCTTTCTTTCAACAAACCGGCCGTATCCCACTGAGGCAGGGTGGCCCGAAAAGAAAAACAAAAGTTTCTCTTTTTAAATTTAGTAATTTATACAGGAGAAGGGGTTACTAGCCCCTTGCTCCTGGCATTTTAGTCGCCTCTTACAACATGCATGGCTTACGGAGGAAGAATTCTGTTCCACTTCCCCATGGAGATAAGAGGAAATAAACAAGAATAAGAACTAGAAAGAAAATAGAAGAAAACCCAGAGGGGTGTGTATATATATGCTTGTACATGTATGTGTAGTGTGACCTAAGTGTAAGTAGAAGTAGCAAGACGTACCTGAAATCTTGCATGTTCATGAGACAGAAAAAAGGACACCAGCAATCCTACCATCATGTAAAACAATTACAGGTTTTCGTTTTACACTCACTTGGCAGGACGGTAGTACCTCCCTGGGTGTTTGCTGTCTACCAACCTACTACCTAGGTTATTATTATATATGTATTATTATTCTTTCAACACACTGGCCATATCCCACCGAGGCGGGGTGGCCCAAAAGGAAAAACTCTCACCATCATTCACTCCATCACTGTCTTGCCAGAAGGGTGCTTTACACTACAGTTTTTAAACTGCAACATTAACACCCCTCCTTCAGAGTGCAGGCACTGTACTTCCCATCTCCAGGACTCAAGTCCGGCCTGCCGGTTTCCCTGAACCCCTTCATAAATGTTACTTTGCTCACACTCCAACAGCATGTCAAGTATTAAAAACCATTTGTCTCTATTCACTCCTATCAAACACGCTCACGCATGCCTGCTGGAAGCACAAGCCCCTCGCACACAAAACCTCCTTTACCCCTCCCTCCAACCTTTCCTAGGCCGACCCCTACCCCGCTTCCTTCCACTACAGACTGATACACTCTTGAAGTCATTCTGTTTCGCTCCATTCCCTCTACATGTCCGAACCACCTCAACAACCCTTCCTCAGCCCTCTGGACAACAGTTTTGGTAATCCTGCACCTCCTCCTAACTTTAGTAATATACATGTATACAGGAGAAGGGGTTACTAGCCCCTTGCTCCTGGCATTTTAGTCGCCTCTTACAACACGCATGGCTTACAGAGGAAGAATTCTGTTTCACTTCCCCATGGAGTCAAGAGGAAATAAACAAGGACAAGAACTAGAAAGAAAACCCAGAGGGGTGTGTATATATATGCTTGTACGTGTATGTGTAGTGTGACCTAAGTGTAAGTAGAAGTAGCAAGACGTACCTGAAACCTTGCATGTTTATGAGACAGAAAAATGGACACCAGCAATCCTATCATCATGTAAAACAATTACAGGCTTTCGTTTTACACTCATTTGGCAGGATGGTAGTACCTCCCTGGGTGGTTGCTGTCTACCAACCTACTAGTTAGGTTAGGTAAGGTTTACCTTCATGTATTATTGTTATACATATTATTGTTATGATTGTTATTGTATTATATTATTATACAGTGGACCCCCGCATAACGATTACCTCCGAATGCGACCAATTATGTAAGTGTATTTATGTAAGTGCGTTTGTACGTGTATGTTTGGGGGTCTGAAATGGACTAATCTACTTCACAATATTTCTTATGGGAACAAATTCGGTCAGTACTGGCACCTGAACATACTTCTGGAGTGAAAAAATATCGTTAACTGGGGGTCCACTGTACTATTATTATTATACGTATTATTATTATACTATTATTATTCTATTATTATATGTATTATTATTATACATATTATTATTATACATATTATTATTATTATTATTATATAAATTGTAATTTTTATTCACACAAAAAATATAAGATTTACTGTTATACCTTATTGCAATAATTGTGTAAATAATGTCAACCCATTCATGACTGCATATTGGAATGGACAGTGACGTCATTTGTTTACTCTGAAACAGCCAAGCAATGGACCATTTCTCCTAGGTTGAGCTCTATTTCATGGTACTTTTCGTCGTGAAAGCAATTAAAATCATATCAATTTCTGTAATATATCTCCATTCTATCAAATGAGACCAAAAAAATGAGAATACAACCATAAAAACCATTCGAAATTACCGCAAAGGGGTGGCTAATTGCTGAGAAGTGAACTCCATTATTTATGCTTAGATTTCTTTAATTTTTGGTGTACGTTAAGAAGCATCTTTCCATCATACATTGCCCAAGTTTCAATAAGATAGTCCAACAAACAAATGAGATACAATTCCCGAGATCAAGAGCAAGAGTCCCTCACCAGTGTCAAGGAACCTGCCTTGAGGTCTGCTCGTTTGTGGAAATTTTGCTCGCATATGGAAGCAAAAAATCGACCCATCGACTGCTCGTATTTGGAAAAACTCGCATGTGGACACGCTCGCAAGTAGAGGTTCCACTGTATTATACAACCATGGTGACATTACACATCCCTGTCTAAGACCTACTTTTACTGGGAAGTAATCTCCCTTTCTTGTACACACCCTAACCTGAGCCTCACTATCCTCATAAAAATTCTTTACAGCATTTAGTAACTTACTACCTATTCCATACTTTACTTGCAACATCTGCCACATTCCTCCCCTATCCACTCTATCATATGTCTTTTCTGAATCCATAAATGCAATGAAAACCTTTATCTAAATACTGTTCACATATATTCCTCAATGTAAACATTTGATCTACACATCCCCTACCCACTCTAAAGCCTCCTTGCTCATCTGCAGTCCTACTCTGTGTCTTACCTCTGATTCTTTCAGTGATAACCCTACTGTACACTTTTCCTGGTATACTCAGTAAACTTATTCCCCTATAATTTTTACAATCTCTTTTGTCCCCTTTCCCTTTATATGAAGGAACTATACATGCAATAAGAACAAGAACTATTAAGATAAAATCAAAGAAAACTCACATGAGTTTGTATACATAAACGTGTATATGTGTAGTGTGACCTAAGTGTAAGTAGAAGTATCAAGACATACCTGAAAAATTGCACGTTTATGAAACAGAAAAAAGACACCAGCAGTCCTACCATCATGTAAAACAAATACAGGCTTCCTTTCTACACTCGCTTGGTAGGACGGTAGTACCTCCCCGAATGGTTGCTGTCTACCAACCTACTACCTTATAATATTAAATGTAAATGATATTTAAAAAGGTATGGCCAAAATACTATAGAGGAATATGTAGAAAAAAAAAATTATTCAGTTTTCCAGCATTTTGGCAAATCCGGTGTACACACCCTTCAAAAATGCACAAAAAAAAAAAAAATTATCTACAGTAATAATAATTTTTTTTTTTTGCATACACTAAAGGACCAAAAATATTCATTGTAGGTACTGTCGAGAAGAAGGTGCATCACCACTGTGGTTACACCCACCTGGTGCGACTGAAGTGGCTACCAAATGTCAGTTCTGTGGAGGGAATATGGTCTTTGAGATGCAGATCACACCACAGCTGGTCCTTCACCTCAGAGTGCCTGGGGTACAGGGTACTCCACTGGAGTTTGGCACAGTGGCTGTATTTACGTGTTTAGCTTCATGCTGGAATGAAAAAGACACTATAAAACAAGAAGTAGTAGTCGTCCAGTGTGAAGTGATCTGAAGAGTTTGTATTCCTGGTGATTTAAAATAAAAAAAAAATTGAGCATAAATTGATAAATGAGCTGAATGAGTTGTCTTATATTTAATTATTTATTACACTCATTCTTTTTCACTATTGCTTAAAAATTATAAGTCAGTGTAACAAAAATGATTTCAGATGAAGATTTAATCTGCAGGAGCCTGAGTTGTATAAGTTACAAAAGTTGAAGATTACACATGAGAGAGTCCAGGGGTGGATTGTACTTTAGAAAATGAAGCAACATTGTAACTTGATCATTGCTCAGTGCATAGTTGTGGCACTCCTCAAGGAAGAAGCAACAGTTATCTCCAGATAAACTGTCTCATATCAAGGTTTGCTCATGTTGATTATATTGAAATATTTACACTCATTCTTTTGAGTTAGCTGAGCTCTTGAAGCATACTGTCACTTTCAAATGCTAGAAATGTATGCCTCATTTTACTCCTCAATATCCACCCTTGGAGACAGTGAGTCATTAGGAACAAAATAAAAAGTAGTGTGTGTCTTTTGTATGCACTCAGTAAATATTTCACTATTTAATTTTTTCCTTTTCCTTTATTGCTTATGGAGGAAACTACTCATTCACAAATACACACACAGACAACTTTGTTTGTACCACTTGTTACAAATATGCAGTACATAGAACTTCACCATATCATTGGAACCTCAGAGAATCTCTTGCTATTGAGCTGTATTACAAACACTATAAAGGCAGGTCTAGTTTAGATCTGCATGCAAGTATAAGTGCAATAGAAATGTGATAATTGTTGATCTCATTGTGCATTACCATATTAACTTATTATTTAATGTATCATGTATTTTAATTCTCAGTTCACTTGTTCTGTATTTTGAAGGGACAAGGGATTATCAGTGCTTTGTATAAATGTTTTAGTGGATTAATGTTTTTTGGGGTTTTCTAATTTGGAAAATGAACAGCATTAGCTCATGCATTTATAATAAAAATTATTACAGATTGTTTCAAGAAAAATAATAAACTGTTCATTGCATGATAATACAATAACAGCTGTGTGAGCTGAGTTTATAAAAATTTTACCTACATTTTGATAAAATTTTGTTTAACCCAAGACAGGTGATCCAAAGAGGAAAGCACATTCACCATCATTCATTCAGCAGCCATCTTTCCAGAAGTGTGCTGATATGTCAGATTACTCTCGAATTGTAGCATCCCCGTCCCCTTCTTCAGAGTGCAGGTACCTTCATTCCCATCCCCAGACTCAAGTCTAGCTAGCCTATATATACTGTGTGTGTGTGTGTTTTAACACTGGCCATCTCCCACTGAGGTAGGGTGACCCAAAAAAGAAACACTATCACCATCATTCACTCTATCACTGTCTTGCCAGAGACAAGTGATAGAGACAGTTCAGATGTCCTTCCAAACAGCAAATATCCCCACAGACAGAAACTGGGTAGCTGCCTGAGGTGTGGAAGACAGCAAACGTAATCCCAATTTTTAAGAAAGGAGACAGACGTGCAACACTAAGCCATAGACCTGTGTTTGCTGGCATGTATAGTATGTAAAGTTATGGAGAAAATCAGAAGAGTTGTGGAGCACCTAGAAAGGAATGGGCTCATACATGGCAGTCAGCTTGGCTTCAGGGAGGGAAACTCCTGCATCACAAAACTTTTGGAATCCTACAATAAGGTAACAGAAGTAAGATGAGAGAGAGAGAGAGGTAGAGAGAGGTAGAGAGAGAGAGGGGTAGAGGTAGAGAGAGAGAGGGGTAGAGGTAGAGAGGGGAGAGGGTAGAGGTAGAGAGAGAGGGGGTAGAGGTAGAGAGAGAGAGGTAGAGAGAGAGAGAGAGGTAGAGAGAGAGAGAGAGAGGTAGAGAAAGAGAGAGAGAGAGAGAGAGAGAGGTAGAGAAGAGAGAGAGAGAGGTAGAGAAAGAGAGAGAGAGAGGTAGAGAAGAGAGAGAGAGGGGGGGTAGTAGAGAGAGAGAGGAGGGGTAGAGAGAGAGAGGGAGGGGTAGAGAGAGAGAGAGAGAGAGAGAGAGAGAGGAGGGAGGGGTAGAGGTAGAGAGAGAGAGAGAGAGAGGTAGAGGTAGGGATGAGGAGGGGGGTGGAATGGGTAGATTGTATCTTCTTGGGCTGCAAGAAAGTTTATGACACAGTACCGCAAGAGACTGGTTGAAAAGTTAGAGGAGCAGGCAGCAATAGCAGGGTAAGTACTACAATGGATCAGGGAATACCTGACAGGAAGGAAACAATGTGTGTTGGTACACAACAAGGTGTCAAAGTGGGGTTCCACAAGGGTCAGTCCTAGGTAATTTTGTCCATGTCATATGCGAATGACTTGACAAAAGGGATAGATTCAGAGGTGTCCCACTTTGCAGACAATGTAGAGCTAATGAGGACAATACAAGTGGATGAGGATCAAGTAAGCCTACAAGAAGATCTGGACAGACTGCAAGCCTGGTCTGACAAATGGCTCCTGGAGTTTAACCTCAGCAAGTGCAAAGTCATGAAGTTTGGGAAAAGATAAAGAAGACTGCAGACAGAGTACAGCCTAGGAGCTCAAACGTTGCTAAACTTATTCAAGCACATTTCCTGAGGTGCACATCAACCAAATGGCTGCTGCAGCATATGGGTACCTGGCAACCCTAAGAAAAGCATTTTGGCGTCTAAAGAAGGAGTCATTCATGACACTGTACACCATGTACGTTAGGTCCATACTGGAGTATGCAGCACCAGTGTGGAACCCAAATCTGGTCAAAAACATCAAGAAACTGGAGAAAGTGCAAAAGTTTGCAACAGGACTAGTCCTGTTGCAAACAGGTTAAGGGAACTAAATCTGATGACACTAGAGGATAGGAGGAACATGATAATGATGTATAAAATACTGAGAAGAATTGACAAGGTGGACAGGGCTAGAATGTTTCAAAAATGGGACACAGGAACAAGGGAATGCAACTGGAAGTTGAAAACCCAGATGTGTCATAGGGATGTTAGGAAGTATTTTTTTTAACTTAGAGTTGTCAGAAAGTGGAGAAATCTGGAGAGTGAAGTAGTGGAGGCAGGATCCATACATAGCTTTAAGAAGAGGTATGATAAGCCTTTTGGAGTGGGGAGAGAGTGACCTAGTAGTGACTAGCAAAGAGGTGGGGCCAGGAGGTGTGATTCGACCCCTGCAGTCACAATTAGGCGAGTGCACGTGACACACACACACACACACACACACACACACACACACACACACACACACACACACACACACACACACACACACACACACACACACACACACACACACACTGGTGCTGCATACTCCAGTATGGACCTAACGACATAACGGAAGGGATAGACTCAGAAGTGTCCTTGTTTGCAGATGATGTGAAGTTAATGAGAAGAATCAAATCGGACGAGGATCAGGCAGGACTACAAAGAGACCTGGACAGGCTACAAGCCTGGTCCAGCAACTGGCTCCTTGAATTTAACCCTGCCAAATGCAAAGTCATAAAGATTGGGGAAGGGCAAAGAAGACCGCAGACACAATATAGTTTAGATGGCCAAAGACTGCAAACCTCACTCAAGGAAAAAGATCTGGGGGTGAGTATAACACCGAGCATATCTCCTGAGGCGCACATCAATCAGATAACTGCTGCAGCATACGGGCGCCTGGCAAACCTACGGATAGCGTTCCGATACCTCAGTAAGGATTCGTTTAAGACTCTGTATACCATCTATGTCAGGCCCATATTGGAGTATGCAGCACCAGTTTGGAATCCACACCTAGTCAAGCACGTCAAGAAACTAGAGAAAGTGCAAAGGTTTGCAACAAGAAAGCCCCAAAGGCTAAGAGGTATGTCCTATGGGGAGGAGGGTTAAAAGGAAATAAAACCTGACACATGGGGGACGGGAAAGAGATAGGGGGGACATGATAAACGACTTAAAAAAATACTGGGGGAAAATTGACAAGGTGGACAAAGACGGGATGTTCCAAGCCCTGGGCCCACTTTAAAAAAGGGGGAACATTTTGGAAGTTGAAGAAAACAGATGAATAAAAGGGGGTTGTTAGGAAGAAATTTCTTCCACCCCGGGAGTAGCCCGGGAAAGGGGGAATAGTTTGGGGGAAGGGATGTGTGGAGTCAGGTTCCATACATAGTTTTAAAAGCAGAGGTACGATAAAGTTTCATGGTTAGGGAGGGGTTGACCTAGAAACGGACCAGTGAAAAAGGGGGGGCCAAAGGGCTTGGGCTGCCCCTGCAACCTCAACTAGGCATTTCAACTAGGTGATACATAACACACACAAAACACAACAAAACAACACACAACAAAAAACCACAACCCAAACACACAACACACACACAACACACCACAAAACCACAAAACACAACACACCACACAACACCCCAACACAAACAAAACACACACAACACCACAAAACAAACACACAAACCACCCCAAAACCCACCCACACAAAAACACCACACACAAACACACACACAAAACCCAACACCAAACAACCACACAACACACACACAAAAACACACAAAACACCAAACACACACACAAACACACACAACAAAAACACAACCAAAACACACACAAAACACACAAAACACCACACAAACAAAACACAAACACAAAAAAACACACCCAACACAACCCCCAAAACACACCACACCCACACACACCACACACACAAAACACACACACACCAAAACATTAAACACACACACAAAACATACACAAAATTGGGCCAATCCCCACACTCCCCCCCCCCCACTGACATTCACTCCTTCCCCTGATCCCTCCCCCTCCCCTCTTTCACCCCCCCCTTTCCCCACCTCTCCCCCCTTTTCCCCTCTCCCTCTCCCACTCCCCCCCTTTTTTTTCTCCTCCCTTCCCATTTCCCCCCCCCACACTCCCCCCAAAAATAGCCACAGTTCCCCCAAAAAACCCCCCCTTTCCACACTCGCCATCCCCAAAATCTCCCCTTTAACTACAAAATTTTCTTTGGGTTTTCCACTCTCAGGCAATCAGGAAAAAACAAAAAGGGTTGCCAGAGAGCAACAAAAAAAAACCAAAGGGAAAGGGAGGGGGAAAACCCCAAAGGGAAGTTTGGGGCAGCAGAGCTCAAAAAAGGGGGAAAAAAGAATGGGAAAAACACTAGAAAAATTTTTAGCATAGAAGGAAAGAGAGGATAGACAGGGAAAAGCAAAGTGGAGGTGCAAGTAAAAGGGGGGGGCCAAGGGGCCGGGGAACAGGTTTAAAAGAGGAACTGAAAAATTGAAACCCCAAAAGAAATAAAAAACTTTTTGGGGAGGGACAACAGGACTGCTACCTCAGCCAAAATTTGGGGGGACTGTGGGGAAAGAAGGAGCAAATTTATGTAAAGCATTTTAAGTAAATAAAAGAGAAAAGCTTATGGGGAACCCCTTAACCCAGACCACAGCAACCCCGGGGAAAAGCCGAAAAGGGGAAAAATGACGGGGCCACTGAGCCCAAGAACATTAGCTAGCAAAAAACTAAAGAAAGGAAAAGCTGAAAATGGAGGAAAAAAATTGAATGGGGGGAT